AGAGAAACGCTGCCCCGCGCACACAATCGCTTTGTTGTGCGAGTGCTATAGGTGATGCATGCATTTGTTCATTTGTTTGCAATTTCTGCTCCTCTATTGCTCTGCCTCTTTCACAAATATTGGTAAGCAGGCGATGTGCAGCATGCACTCTGCTTGGTTTCATTTAGCCCTTTATCTGGCCACAAATTGGCATTCAAGAGTGGAATGGATGTAATAATTGCATGCACTCTATAACATGCTCCGTGAAATGTGTTCTCTCACTTTTACAACCAGCGAGTAGGACTAAACATGAAGATTCTCGGAAACCTTGGACACAGAATCTCACTTTTTATGCTGTGTGACAATAGCAATATTCAATGAAGTTGCATTTACAGGCCACGGATGGTTGATAAAGTCTGTTGTAATATGTATGAGCGCTGCAGAGATTTACACAAGAAGAAATGCCTTTGACCAAGGTGTAATCGCACTCCTGCTTTTGTATAGCCCCGCCTCGCACATAATGCAGGCTTGTGTTGGTAAAATGACTCTTTTCACGGCAGTGTTGGGAATGTACTCTACAGTATACACTCTGCTGCTGTCGCTTTCAGTTTTGAAATAGGCATTTTGGAATTACACCTTCAGGAAGTCATGCTTGTGTGAATTGGCTTAGTGGATATAATTTAAAATATCAAGTGCACTGACTATGGCAGACTGTGATGTGTAGAATAGGCCTGCAAAACAAAAGCTTGGGGGGAGGAGTATGTGTGTCACGGCACGGCTGTGTGTGTGTGTGTGCCCCCACGCTGCACTGCTGCAGTGTATTGGCTCTCCACTATCCATGTCAACAGTGCTGAGTGACTGAAAGGCACTGGATTACGTACACTGGGGGCCAATGGGTCAGTGGATAAGAAGTCTTCTCTGTTACCACAAATCCACAGATTAAATCCAGCGTCAAGAGCTAGTGCTGCCCTGGGGGCAAATGGGCCTGAAAATACAACTCGCAGAGAGCTTTGACTTAACCCTTCTGTCACTACGGAGCCACGAGACAACGGACGAGCGAAGTGACTCTTTAAGTCCCGCTGCATGAGCCTGGCCTTTAAATACATCCGGGTCATCCAGGGTTTACGGGTGGTGTTACTGACATGATATCTTAATTGGAAAGTTAATCCCGCGCTGGGACAGCTAACTCTTAAGTTAAAACAGTCTGTCGCACATGGTAGAAGTCAACTAAATGCTGAAGCCCGGCAGCTTGTGAACGTACACAGTGATATTTTTTTCTCCCAGGAGTGCCTGCACACCCCAGGCAAACTAACAGCATACATTTACGCTGTGGAACTGTTTTCCATCACTGCCTCCCTCCTCTGGATGCTGTTCAAGTGATCTGACTCGGGCTCTGTACCTACACACACAGGGTATTTACAATAACAGGAGCGTGTTAGCACTTTGGTGATATCAGCTATGTTCTTCAAACTCGGATTGGAATTTGTCAGTGGCGTTTAGTGTGAGAAAAGCCTTTGGTGTGCCTGCCTGCATGTTTGCATACATTTCAGTAGGCTTATGAATATGAGGAGCAGCAGTGATGTGGGGGAGGGCAGATGGAAAGAGAAAGGTACGGTAGGTCTGCATGGGATAGTGGCAGGATGGCTGTTGGTGACAGACTCTTGTAGCGTCTCGTCTGCTCCACTGATCCTAGGGAATCTGGGTCATTTCCAGCCTGTTCACATGTAACTGTTCCCCACTCCTTCCCTCCCTCTGCCCAGGGCGAGCTACGACCCAGCTACATGCTAATGATGACACAAACTAAATGTCTCTTATTGGAGACAGAGTAGGGTTGGAGAAGGGTGCACTACACCTCTGATCTGTCATCCATCTTTTTTTTTTTCACCTTGTTGCTGTTTGTCACTGAGCTGCCTTCCACCTTAAGAAGCAAACATAAAGCTTTTTCTCTGTGGGAATAATCTGCAGTTAAATGCAGTGATGGATCTGTATCAGCTGGCATTACTTCAACAGCAGCTACATAAGCTGCCAGCTACATAATGACAGATAAATAGTGATGAATATTTTGAAGGTTAAAGTTCATTCTCATCAGTTTACAAAACATTCACTTTCTATTGGTCCATTTAGTTGCTGTCATGGAGCTTTCAGTCATATCTCATGATCCTTAACAGCAGACGGACTTAGTCAATTGAAAAATTTTATTTTTCTCAGCAATTCAAATAATTATTGTAGATAATATTTTGCTTTTGATAAATTAAGAAATGCAATGCTCATGTCTAGCATCTTTATAAAAAAACTTGCATTATGAACCTAAATGTAATTTAGCACAGAAACCCTGCTTTTTTACAGACAGTTATAATGGTCCGTTTTTTATTAACTGCTGTCAGAGTAGTGCTGAATTGAAATTCTGCTCATTTTGCAGGTGATTGAGTTACAATAGTTTGGATTTTACTGGCAGGTGTTCACACCCAGTTACCTCAATACTCTTCTTCTTTACTCAATCTCCAGATTACAAGAATTTATGGGAATAAATGCAATTGAAATAATAATTATAATAATAATAATAATAATAATATACCGGACATAGAAAAAATCACCCACATAGTACTGACAATAATGATAATACGTGATGATAATAATGGTCTAATATTGACAGCTACAGCAGCTTTAACGTGACTTCAGTCTGACGGGTGACTGACTTATGGGTTGGGATCCATGTAACAAATGGACAAGAGACAGAAAAAATGTGTTGGCGTTTGAATGAGGAGCTCTGTGCTGCTGCTGAATGTGCGGGGATATTGGTGTCAGGAGGCCCAGTATCTCCTGACACTGTGACACAGGCCTGGACTCAATGAGACATACAGTACCCACTCCTGGAGACCACATACAATATTTATCATGAGGGACATTGAATATTGAGGGGAATTATGAGGCTATTACCATATGTTAAAACAATTAGATAAGAAGAAGAATAAGGGAATGAAAGGGGCCTTTTCACACGGTTTTCCACGATTAATTCGCGGGGATTATCAACACAGAAATTCTGATTTCACTCTGAGAAATATTCCTCTGTTTCTTTTCGTTATAAATCTTTAAACAGCGCCTTAAAGGTAGACGTGTTGGTTACAGAGAACAGTCTGCAATTGTTATTTCCAGCCCTCCGTTTAAGAGATCCACAACACGCCTATATTTTATTGATGCGCGCTTCTTAGGAAAAAGTACAGGACCGCTGCAGTGCTTGTAAATTTAGATTGGGACGGGGCAGCCTGCAGGGATGAAATATTTACAGGAGGCAGCTGAATATTTCAGTCCGGCACCTTGTCATCCGCCTTCGCATTTGACATCCACCGCTGCGTCTGGTGCAGGTCTTACATTCACTTATTTACCAATATTTACTCGTGTTATCGTGCAGTGAACGGCTAGTTGTGGTTGTCTGTTCGCGCAGGTGCAATCGGGCTCTTCCGTTTACATGATGCTGCAACCAATGCACACGCCAAATTATGAGAAACGCACATGCATCGTCTTTATTCTTGATTATTACTTTTTTTTTTTTTTACAACCTCAATAGTGGTGATGCATCAGTCTCCAGCAGACCAGCGAGAGAATGAGCAGCTTCCTGTGCAGAAGGCATTCATAACCCCGCATGGAGAGTCTATAATTCATGCAAAAAAAGAGCCCGAGGGAGATTTAGCTCCAGTGTGTGGTGCGTGCGTGCGTGTGCGTGAGAGAAAGAGAGAGAGAGACAAGTGTGTGTATGTGTTAGAAAAAGAGAGCGAGTGGGGGGGGGTCTGTGAAAATAATATCGGGCTTTTCCGTCAGAATGAACTTTACTACTGTATCCAGCCATGAAATAATCTGACCCGACACTTCAAACCATCTGCGCTATCTATCCGCCCTCTTATTTACTAAATCAGCCTGTGCACAAAACGGAGTGTGTCTGATACTAAAGCCGAGTAGCCTGGCAGTGCCATGATAATCCTATATACACACACAAATACACACACAAATGCAAGCAGCGTTTCTCCCCCTGCTATGTTTTACATCCATCACAGTCTGGGAGCAGCCTCCCCTGCTGATGCAATTTATATAGTAAATATATAGCATAGACACACACATAGACACCACAACACATCAATTAGACTGCGTTTTTCAAAAAAGAGCATTTATTCATGCCCCACATAAAAGAGCATGCATCATCACAACTTAGCCTCTAATATAATTCATTGTCATTCATCAATGAAGATTTTAAAAAACGAGGGAAGCCTTGAGTAACTCTTCAAGGTTTCCAAACTGTGCTGCAGATTCACACTCACAAATAAAGGCCACGATGAAGCCTTTCAAAAATAATGATTGCTTTAGTTTTATAATGCCGCCTATATAAGCCTAAAAAATGAAATTAAATGTATCTAAAAAGGTATGCTTGGATATAATCTGATTTGAAAAATGAATGCATGCAGATTTCATATAGAAGCAATGTGGATTTGGGATATAGGAATACCATAAGAGCATTAAGGGCCTAATGAGCCTAGAAGATTAAAATAAGTGAGGTCAATATATGAATCATAATTTAGTAAACCAGCTACATATCAACTGTCATAAATGTGCTGAGGACAGTGTAAATAAATGATTGATCTCAGGGCGGGACGGAGTCGGTTTGCTGTCTGAAGAGCAGGAGGCTGCTGAGCGTGTTTTCCTGCTTTGGCACTTGACCATTTACACTGAAGAGTCTTTCTTTAACACCGCCCGCCGCACAAAGGCGCGGGGTGTTCGGGGGCAGCTAAACGTTTGCAGACTGCGGAGCAAAAAAAAGGTCAAAATGTTTGTATTATTTTTGAAAAGGGAGGCGCACACATCTCCTTTCCGCCTGATTGGCCGGACTTGACAGTGATTGACGTGCAGCCATGGCAACCGGGCAGCCAATCTGCCAAGTCCAATAGGAAATCATCGGAGGGGGGCCTGACTGTCTTTTTCCTCCCCCCCTTCAAAAACACATCTCTGCTCGGGCTTTAATTCTTTCCCGCATCCCACCTTGAAAAATACATCGCGGCTCCGGCTTTAATTGTCTCGCACCTTCAGCCCTTTGCCAGCCAAGTTTGCCCGCAGCACGAGGATGCGGTAGCCGGCCCCCCGCGCACCGTCGTTCCTCCTCCGCGGCGCTCGCTGCTCGTTCACGGCTGGTCACACGGCGGGTGCGCCAACTTTGGGATTGCCTCGTTTTTTGAGGGTGGTCTTGGATTTGCCTCGGCGCACGGAGGGAAGCAGCGGAGGACTCGACGCGGAGGAGAGAGGGCGAGAGGAGAGGAGAGAGAAAGGAGGGGGAGAGGGAAACAACAGGAGAAGCCTCCATGTTTCAGCTGCCCATCTTGAATTTCAGCCCCCAGCAGGTCGCCGGGGTCTGCGAGACCCTGGAGGAGAGCGGGGACGTCGAGCGCCTCGGTCGCTTCCTGTGGTCGCTGCCCGTCGCGCCGGCGGCCTGCGAGGTCCTCAACAAGAACGAGTCGGTGCTGAGGGCCCGCGCCGTCGTCGCCTTCCACACTGGCAATTTCCGTGAACTCTACCACATCCTGGAGAACCACAAGTTCACCAAAGAGTCGCACACGAAGCTGCAGGCGCTGTGGCTCGAAGCGCACTACCAGGAGGCTGAGAAGCTGCGGGGACGCCCGCTGGGGCCGGTGGACAAATACAGGGTGCGCAAGAAGTTCCCCTTACCCAGGACCATCTGGGATGGAGAGCAGAAGACCCACTGCTTCAAGGAGAGGACCCGGCACTTGTTACGAGAGTGGTACTTGCAGGATCCGTACCCGAACCCCAGTAAAAAGAGGGAGCTTGCACAGGCTACAGGACTTACACCCACACAAGTAGGAAACTGGTTCAAAAACCGCAGACAAAGAGACAGAGCGGCGGCTGCGAAGAACAGGTGAGCTACACGCGTCTGCTGGACGATGTGTGATAACTGCGACTGTAAACAAAAGATTTCCAAGATCTCAGGATAGAAATAATAACAAATTAAAACACACTGTGCATCTGGACTCGGTCTATGCATCATGTGAGTTAATACACATTTAATTTATTAAAACAAAACCAGGCCGTATCCACGCTGTCTGCATGGAGACATTCAACTCTGACATTTCTCTGCATATCACAATCATCCTGTAATCCCAAAATCAGGGGCTTGTTTTTTTTCTTCTTTTGTCTAAACGCTGATCTCTGTGTGTTGATGAAATTATATTTTAAGAAGGATGAAATGCAGATAATGTCCAGTCAGCACAATTGTGAAGATAACGAAAATATGGGAGAACAAAGCTCCTAATAAATGGTTTTATTTATCTCTTTTTTGAATAACAACATTAAGGCAAATTTGAGCCACTAATTGCTAGCCTATATCATATTATATACATATAGTTATTTTTAACATTTGATTATAATGACACCTTATAGGCCAGTGGCTCTATAACAACTTAAATGTATTTTAACTGCCTGTTACAATAATAGCCACTGTGCTGAAAGGCCTGTCACAGTGTGGGTCGAGGTCACACTGTTGAATTAATATAGCTGAAATAGCCTATAATCTTACAATAGGCACTTACAGTGAATGGTGTGAATTACTGAGTTCCTGGTGAAAAGCAGCATTTGAAATATTTCACAGTTGTATTATTATATTGCACATAATATATATGGTCTTGCTATGTTACAGTTATTTGAAATATACCATAAAAGTGCTAATTGTCTGCATATTTTCAACAATGCACTCTTTTTTTTTTTATGTAATTAAATATTTTTATCAGAGTGAACATTTAAATACGGTTGAATTTTTGTTCCAGGAATTTATTTAGACTGTCGTTTTTTTATTTGAAAAACAAAGGAAAATAAATGAACCAAATAAATGACCCTCAGTTCAAGATCGTCCCATGAGGAGGCTGTAATATAGATCCTTCATCCTTTTTTTATTTTTCATGCAGTTGTCAGGAGGGTAAACACTGAAAAGACTAATGTACACGCTGCACATTTTCCTCCTCATGTCCACGTCTCTCCAGGCTCCAGCAGCAGGTCCTGTCCGGCGGCTCGGTTCGCTCCCTGGCGGACGAGGACGGCACCGTGGACCGCCTGGGGAACTCGTCCAGTCCGGAGGCGAGTCTGTCCAGCAAAGCGGCGGCCTCAGCCATCTCCATCACCTCCAGCGACAGTGAATGTGACATCTGACACGGCCCCGGTGTTGATGAAGTGGAGGGGGATCCGAGTGAAAGACAATCTAATAAAAACGAGTCATAGTGCCTGCGTTGAGTTAAAACACACAACACACACATCACACACACACTGATACTGACTGATGCCAAAACGTGAGGGGATCTGACTGTGCGTCCTTATCCTGTTATAGGCCTGTACACCTTTGGTTGCGTTTCACCCACGTGTGGATAAACTGAACTTAACACGGACCAGACATATTTCACGGACTAATCGCTAAACCGACGCCCTGAGAAGAAACGTAAAAAAGAAGAAAAATAAATCAACAACAACAAAAAAAAAAAAGAAGAAGAAAAGGAAAAAGGGGATGAAGGGATCCGAGCGCCTAACCTGCTGTTCTCTGTGGGTATTTCATGTTGAAAAAAAAGAACTGTGATATTTTTACTTTACTTTCAAAGTTTTATAAATAATGTTTATTTGCCTATTTAAAAGAAACGATCTGCTCTGTCTCTTCGGATTTCATATTCATTTGCTTGGTGTTTTTAATACTTGTTGAGCATGCGCGCTTTAGTGAAAATGTGTTTCCGTATAACAGAAAAAAAAGTAAAGATAACTTAATAAAATAATTGTTGATGAAGGAATTATACATTTTAATTTCTTTTTATTTGGGATTGTCGTGTGGGAGGAAAAAAATAAAAATCTGGGATAAAATTCGAGGGAAAATATTGAAATAGTTTAACAAAATCCTTCTTTAAAAAGCGCTTTTCTTGTTTAAAAACGTTTTTTTTTTTTTTTTTTATTCCACTGACACGTTTACAGAGGCGACGCTTAATTGGCCAGCATGCCGGGCGTCCTGTAACGCAGGGTGACAGCGAGAGGTCACGCAGAGGCCGACGCACTAACCCGGATGATCTGCGGGAGAGATCACACAGATCACAACACGGCAGTCTGAGGAAATGAGCTTTACACGGTTTACACAAACAGGCCTCTTCATAATAAAGTCCAGGTCCAAGTGTGCGTTAAAGCAACCAGGCCGTTCATTGTTGCTGCAGATGAATCCTTTAAATCAAAGGAGGCTCAAACCTCCATTATGACTGGTTTATTATGGCTCAACCAATATATTTGTTGTAGTGTTTGCATTAACATCATGTTATAATTACAAAAGATGTGTTTGGATCGTTCTGTTTCATATCTATTTTTTAATCTTAATTGGATTACGGGCAGGTGCAGTATTATATAACAATATTGAGTCAAGTCAAAATGATTTATTGATCTTGTTATTTTTTTATATTTGCACATTTCACATTATCGTGCTCAAAGTTAACACAACATTACGCATTATTTAGATGGTGTAAAGCTGCTTAATGTTTTTCTTTAACTTTATTTTTTAGTTAATGCAATATATCTGCAGCCTCCTTCTAAATTTAGATTATGTTTTATTTATTTTTCTTCTTTCTAAATTTAGTCTAATCCGGGATTACAATATCTCTTTTCAGGCTTAAAACAATTTAAATCGAGTATATTTGTCTGTGCATTATTTCTGCTGGCTCATAAATAGACTTTAAATCCGGACAGTCTGCTGTTAATAGGGTGAAAGGAGCAAAATGAGCAAAAAGCACAAGTTAAAGTTGATCTTTTTTTCCTGACTGATGGGACAGACACCTGGTTTCCTCCCATTTGTCATTAATGAGGCAACAGTAACTTCTTCAACACACAAAAGTCTTTCAGCTGGAGACACAGCCGGGAAACAAATAAAGGGAAATAAATTGGATTGGGGTGCTTCTCTCTCTCTCTCTCTCTCTCTCTTTCTCTCCCTCTTTCCTTCTTCTTTACTTCTGCTGCCTCTCTTTCAAACCACGGGGACAAAATGGCAGAATATTTCCGTTTCCATTGAGGGTCTGAGGACGACCGGGGGGGACGGGATGAAAAAGTCTTTCTCGCAGTCAATACGGTTGTCAAACTGGTCAGCGGTAATCAGCGCTAATGATGGCTCTCCGGTCCCCGCTCGGACAAAAGGGGCCCCGCCGCTGTTTTGTGAAGGGAAGCGACCGAGGGTCCCTCTCCAAAGAAAAGGCCTCCTGTGAGGGTAGTCTGGGGCCACGGAAATCACAACTTCTCCTGTGTGTGTGTGTGTGTGTGTGTGTGTGTGTGTGTGAGTGTGTGTGTGTGTGTGTGTGTGTGTGCATGGCCCATTAAAAGGGATTTAATTACCAGTTGATTGTTTTGTGACTTGTAGTAGCCGGCTCATAGGCCCAGCACATTTATTGTGCTTCATTAATTCCATCTATTTTTTTTTTTTTGCAGGCTGCTGCATGTGCATGAATTAAACACTAAATATTTTTATTTTCTTATTTCTTTTTTCAATCAAACCAACCTCGGCGTTGCAGGAGGAGAGGGCTGGTCTGTGTCTGACATGCACCATGTGTGCGTGCTGCAGAACTTCTCCAGGAATTTCAGCCTCTCTCGCGGTGTCCTGTTAAGTTAAGGTTTGTTATATAAGTGCCGGTGTTAACTTGCTCTCTCAACCCAGTTTGTGGTGAGTTGAAGGACGAGCTGCTGCCTTGACAAACGCCTCTGTAATGTGATTGAATCTGTCGCACTGTGCACGCTGTTGCGAATGAATGAATTATAAACCTGATTAGTTATTTTTTTAAAGCCACAAACTAGTGAAAACTTTATAAATCCAATGCACTATTAACTCATATAAGAGTTCTGATCATATTAGTAACACTTGTCCTAATAATAATAATAATAATAATGATTTCTATTTTATTGCATTGGGAAATTAGAAGTAGCTCAATAAAAAAAGCCAACCATTGAGAGCAAAACAGACGCACGAAAAGCGAGTATTGATCCACAGAGGACCCTGAACTGCCTAAGTGCTCATGTTCTCTTCACAGTAGCTGGAAAGTCCCCAAAAAGCTTTTACTTTCCCATTTCTGATTCTGAACTCTACAAGAGGAATTCAAAAATTGGGTCTATAAGGTGGCTCACAGTCTGTTATATCCCTGGAAACATAAAGGAGGTCTCAGGTTGTGGAGACCCGTCTGACCTGCTTTAAAAAATCTATAATTTCACCAGTTTTATCTCACATATACGATTGAAATCATCTGCAATCCTGACAGGCATTGGTGGACGATTTATTGTATTAATGGTCTCTCAACTGTGGCACACCTGGGACAGCTGTTCTGAAATTAAATATATCTATATATCGTTTTTAAAATTGAAAAAATAATAAATCAAAACAAGTCCACAGCAGTAAACACCTTCGGTTGCTTTGGAAAACTGAATGAGACTCACAGCAACTGTCAGTGGCTCATCCTTTGTGTCAGTGGGTGTAGGTACAGTGATGTATTCACAAACAACCGGACACGTGCGAGTTATTCCCCTGAGAAACATTTTACAATATAAAAAAAGGAGTTTTTAAGCTTATAAAAGTGGATGAAAACTGCTGCGTTCACGGCCCTAGCCACCTTAAAAACATTGTCTTTGAACGTTACCTGGGGTTTTACACTAACATTGACTATAAATCTGGGAGAGGAGGATCATTACCCATGGATATGTTGGTTTTTATTTTCTGTGATGCTCCTCCACTGGTGGGATGTAACTCAGTACATTTCTTCAATTTTGAGGATTACTTTAGCTAAGAGTATTTCATTTTTTATGATTTTATACTTCATTTATCTGACAGCTCTACTTTGACAGTGCCCACTTTAATCGTTACACCAGAACAATTTAACTCAATGCAGTACAACACTTCTGCCATTAATTCTATATTAAAGATGCCAACAATGTTCAGTTTCTGTCGACACTGTCTCAGGTATTTGTTAGATTAAAGCATTAAAGTCCTGGACTGCATTATACTCAGAAGTGTTGCCCCCTATATCCCAGAATACAAATATTACAGAAACATCTCCCAGTATAATATACTTGTACTCTTTTAATATGACCTGAGATGTAAACGTGCAGTATAATTGACTATTTTGCAAAAAATCTGCCCACAATACGAGCATCGCAGAGATATTGCGGGCAAAGCTGTTGTACTGGATTCTATTTATATATATATATATATATTTATACAGGTGTACCTAATAAATTGACCACTGTCAGTTTGATCAACTAATAAATCCATATGTATTGAATGTTTTGCTAGGTTAACTTTATCAGCTGCAGCAATAGTGAGTCTAATACATCAACAATTATAATCCTTACACATAATATAGGTCTAAGGCCTGTCTACATAGTTATTGATAGTTTATTTTGATGCTGACACTGTTCTTTAATGCAGTATTTCTACTCTGTTGTATTAGTAAAACACTCTGAATACTTGTTCCACCACATGCTTAATACTAATGATAATAATAATAATAATGATAGTCATGTATTGGGAGGTGTCAGTCGTTCTGGTCCGCAGCAGTGAAGGGCTCACACACTGAAGCTGCTGTCACTCACATATCCCCTCTCCACACGCTTCCTGAAGTGGTGGAGGTCACTCAGCAGGCGGAACTTGTCCTTTTCAACCGGCCTTTTGTCCTCCACCGTCTTCACTTTTCAGCCAAAGCCCTCCTCGACAACATCTTTTTTTCTTTACCCCCATTGCCAGTTGTTGACAAGGTTGAACCAGACCTCACTAGGTGATCTTTTGATAAATTCACCATCAAAATATTTTGTTCCAAGGGCCACATAAATCAACAGCTGCTGTTTTCCCCCCTGTTTGCTCTTTGTGCAAAGGCCATGAATTTATATCAACAACATTCACTTAAGTAAACCCGCTCTCTCCTCCCAGTGGTTCCCAACCTTGTGGTTACGGTTATTTCAAGGTTTTTGTGTCTTCTTTGTCACATATTAATGTAACTGATGTTTTTCTCCCCCATCACAGAGGAGCTCTGTTCAAAAGATGAGAGACAATCCCACGTGTGGCCCCGGTGGCTGCCTCCTGTTCTGAGGGCCTCACATGCTGCATCCATCATGATGACATGGAGAGGGAAACTGCATGATAATGACGCCCCCTGGTGGTGGTGATGTCCTACATGGCTGGATCCCTTAAATTTAAGAGCTGTTTTCTAATCATTTCAATCCAAATGAAGTCAGACATTAGCAGGCAGTCTACTGTTATTTTCAGTTTTCTGTTGGATGAGATAAAACTGAAACCAAACATATTGAGAATATTTTATTAATAATGATTTCATAATCAACTATATTGAATTGTTCTTGCTGTTAAAAAAATATATAAGATTTGGTTTTCTACAATAAATTGATTTTATAAATGCTATAAAAACATTAAAACAGTTTGACTTCTCACCAAAACTGCATCTATTTTCCCCCACATATTTATTTATTAACACGCTTTATGTAATTTATCTCTTCGCATGATGCTCTGGATGCACAGCTCTGTATATTCAATCCCCTCAGGCCATCGTTGTGGATTCACTTTCATTGGCCATTCATCTCTCAACATTTAAAGTCAAAAAGAATAAAGAATAACATGACAGGTAGATTCTAATGAACACCATTGGTAATAATTGATGAGAAACAGAAACTCAGAGTATAAACTGAAGCTGAAATCCCACAGTTCCCAGGAAGGACGCTGTAGAACAATGAACAGTGTCCTTAGTTTGACATGGTTAGATTTAGAGATGGAGATTAAAATGTATGCAGTAGTTAAAATCAACCATAGAGACGATGCATTTAGGCTCATTTGGTTCAGTTGGCTTGGCTCAGTGTTTCTACCATTTCCCTTTCCCCTTCGTCTCTCTGCTGTCCACTGTCTGTCTATCAGCTCTGGAGTTTCCACTCATCACCAGATTTCAGCCCGTGTGGTGTGATCATGTTCTCAGGCCACTTATAACTGTGCTTTCTAATCTCTGACTCTAGACTCATCCTTGTCTCCCTGCCTGACGACCTGTCACCCTCAGCCCATCTCTGCCTCACCTCCACTCACCCTCTCACCCTAAAGGAGCAGAAAACAAACCCTTCTAACTCTGAGTCTGCATCTGGATTCCCCACGTTGAATAAATCTGAATGGTATTGATACGTTTTCATCGATAAACCAATGCTTATAATAAAAAAGGAAACTGTCTTTATGTAATTGTCTTCATCATATAG